TACACACTATGAGTGATAGTGATGGAGATGACTTTATTCTCGATGAGGAACCTCATGTTACGGCGGAGGAACGTAGTAGCAGTGGGCGCAGAACTAGCGACGGAAAAAAATAGTTGATTTTGATAAAAATGGTCAGCCAGTTGGTGCGTGGGCGGAGAAGTTCAAATCTTTTGTGGGAAAGATAGTACGTGCTCGGGTAAACATCAACATTGAAAGTTGGAAACATGTCCCCGAATCCCTAAAATTGCAGATGTGGAAAGAGATCCAGGTATGTACACTTAATTATATATTTTAACTTTATTAATAATAAGAAAAGATTACAAGTCCTAATGCATATATTAAATCACCACTATGTAGGATGAGTATTTTGTTGATGACACCATGTACAAGTTGACCATAAAAAAGATGGGAAAGTTACATCGGGACTTTAGAAACCGATTGAGGACTGGCTTTTTTTATAAGACACGACCAGTTGGACAGGATAGTGGTGAAGCTTATGTGAAGTATAAAGGCATTTTGACACAAGATGTGTGGGAGGATTTTATCGCTAGGAGCATGACTCCGGAGTTTCAGGTATAATCCAAATGTAATTTTATTGAATTCAATTTTGTTTTATAATATGAATTCCATACTTTTTAAATTTTATGCAGGAATCTATTATTATAATATAATAGCAAAAGGAAACTTGGAGAACAAGTTCCCGCCAAAAAGTGTGCAGCATAACCCCATGTGGTAAGTTTCACACGATAACATCTTCACATTTAATATACAGGTACAACTATTCAAGTTGCAACATAAAAAGATTAAAAAAATTGAATGGGCCGTCACGTACATTAACATAAGGAGTTATCAAAGGAAGTTTCTGATTGGGTATATTAATTCAAAATTTCAAACAAAGGCTGACGCTTGACTTCCCAAGGCAGCATATTTAATTTTTGGGCAGCTCAATCTAAGCCTTCACACCATCCCGCACATTAGGTTCCTGTATATAAGAGATAGAAGTCCAAATCATCAGCCAATGGATTCCAAAATCCAGATTTATCAAATTAATACGTACGGGGTATTAGTTTTATTCTAACGAAACATCAAAACTGTGTGAAGTATTAATCGTAGCAGTTCAGGTTTGTCTCATTCACGATGGTTAACATACGGAGAATGGTAAAGCATACCAACCAGAGTAAGTAAAGAGGGCAATCTATTGAGTAAATCTGATCAAGTAAACTACATACACTTGATTATAAATCTGATTTGAACTTTTAAATAGAAAATTAAAGTCCATAAGAAATGCATAGCATTAGATCTCGACAGAAAATCAAAAACTCTTTTTTTGTAATCTTGACAGTTTTATTTCGAGTGTTAAAATAAAATCTATTGAGTAGTACTTCTCGAGTCATCGTATAAACTGAAACATTAAAAAAGTTTGCAGATGATTGCGGAAGGTGAGCCGGTTTCATCATCTAAGTATGCAGATGTTTATGGAAGTGAGATACGAAAAGAATTGAAGGCTGTAAAGAATGAATGGGTTTCGTATGTGAAACCGTGAAGGGTAGAGATTGGAATATCTAGCTAGATTTGGGTTCGATTATATGAGCTATTGTAAGATTTTTTCACACATGCTAACTTTTTATAGTCATTTTAAAAGTAGAGAATGTCAATCGTGGAAATGATAAACACTAATGACTGGGTGATAATCCTTTTTTTATTACTCCACAATGAAATTTTTCTTAGCTTGAGAGGCATTTCTAGATTTTCAAATTTACTTTCTTTGACTAATAATATGAATGCTATATTAATACGTAGTACTATTTAGAAAATAACATTTCCAATCCCAATAAATGAATTTATTTTCATATGTAAGCAATTTTTGAAATTGATATTCACAAAAGTTTTATTTGTATTTTGCACTTATCACCTATTATGGTTTTTTGTCTAAAATTTATTCATTATTTAAAAGGGAAGATAAAATTATTTATATTAAAATGTTTTTACTATGCTAATGATAATTATAAGAGAGTACTCTCTCATGCTAGATATAAATTTATTTTTATTTATACTTGATGAATATTTACCGATATCTTCATTTGAGTATGTCTTGCATGGGAAATAAGGGTTTGAATAAGAACTCATGATTGCATATATATGAAATACTAGATAAATATTTTGAAAGAAATTCTTCAAAAAAAAATTGAAAGATATAAACAAAAAGAGTAAAATAGTAGATAACTTCACCTCACAGTTCAGATTTCTCATCGCAAAATCATCATCCATTTGTCTTTCGAATAGCAGAGTTTCAAAAATTATCTAAGCTATTTAGTACGGAGTAGGATTTACAGTGACTCCAAATTCAAATTTATTGAGAAGCCATGTATTAGAATTGGACCCAATGTAACACACATTGATTCCCTCAAAACTGAAATGAAGTTTAGAGTGATTGAAGAAAAGAGACCGGAAACTGTTGGCTTTTGGTTATCTACAAAGCCGATCGACCGAGAGCTAAGAGGATAGAAAATGGTAGCTGTGCTTTTCAGAAGTGTACTTGATATCATATACTCCGTATACGTACAATATATGTTGTAAGTTACGTAGTACTACCTCCCTTCCCGGTCAAAGCTTTCCACCGTAAAATGACATGCGTATTTACACAATAATTAAATAAATTTATTCGAATATAATGAGGTCATTGATAATAAATGTGATGTTATAAATTTAGTATTTTTAATATTTGATGATTAAGTTGTCGTTTAAGAGTGGTAATTATTTTCTTAAATAGGAATGAGAACCTTTATATGAGATAGCCAAAAAAGGAAAGTGAGAAATTTAAAATGGAACGGAAAAGTATATTTTAATGGATTTCTAATGTTATAGACGATAATTGTTTTAATTAAAAGCAAAGGTCCATGTGTTACTTCTAAATTTTAATGGGTTAGGTTAAATGTTTTTTTTTGTATTTCCTGATATTTTAATCCTAAATGTCTAAAAAAATATTGTGTGATGAGTATACTAAAATTAAATGTGACTTTTTTATTTCTTAGATTTATCTTTTAATTTTTCAATTAAGCTATTTTCATTACATTTTTGGGTTTTCTCTTTCAAATATAGAAAATTGGGACGTGAACATGTTAGTAGAGATGGATTGGTGATACATTTCATTTTGAGTCATCCGGAGACATGTCATATGTTTGCCAATACAAAAAAAATGATTGACTTTACCATTGTATGATATAACAAATGGTAACATATGATCTTTTAACTATGTTAATTTTTTCAAATTCCTTAATTTGAAAAAATGCAGTTTTTTGCATTTTAACAATATATGTGAATATATTGTTATGATATATATGTGTTTTTATTTTTCCTTATATACAAAGACTCGAGAATAAATGAGAATCCTCAAGATTTGAATTATTGTACTCAAATTGAAAAGAAAACAACTTCCATACTACCATTAACGAGGCAGCTCGTGGTAATACAATTTTTTAGTATTCCGTGGATTATAATTTTAATTTTTTGTTAGCGCCTTTTCATTTTATTTACTATTGTTTGAATTAATTTGGATTATTTATTTTCTCCGTGCAACGCACGGGTGAAATACTAGTTAAGTGATAAAAACAAACAAGCTGCGTTACTGAATATTTACCCTCGCCATATGGGTCGCTCTGGATATGCACTTTCCATACCGAAATGGAAAGATCAAGGATTACTAGATCAGTTTTTGACTAAGTCTGAAGTGGATTCCACAAAATCTAGCGTATCTTCTGATGACATTCCGAGACATGTGAGTTGGTTTTGTGCTAGATCTGGATTGACAGCAGATGGACAACTAGCTTTCCCGAGTAACACCGAAACCATGAAAAAGAAGAAAGAAAAACTCGTAAGTATGTTTCACATAAGTATATTTTACGTATAAAATTTTCACATAAGAATGTTTTACGTATTAATTTTGTAACTCTTTTTTTATATGTAATTGGATAAAATTCAAGATGATGTTGCTACAGGGACGTGGAAGCCACACGGACGACATGATATTCTTACCGAGATATTTGAGAAACCTGATTATCCTGGACGTGTACGCGGTGTTGGAGGAGGTGTGGGGCATAAAAGAGTGTTTGAGCGAGAGCCGAGGAGTTCACGTAAGATTGGTAATTTGAGCGATACTGATTTGAAGAAGTTACAGGATCAGTGGATGAAAGATATGGAAAAAGCTTTTGCTCAAAGAGGATTCCAATCTACCACATTTCCATCTACGCATTCTCAAACAGTAGATGCAGACACTATGAACTCCACCGCACCTATTCCACGAAAAATTTTTGTTGTAAGTAATTATTAAAATCATATATATTTATTAATGTCTACAATATTTATTAACTTTTTTTTTGAAAATAATTATAGGACGGTTCATCCTGTAAGCTAGCTGTTGAGTCACAAACAGAAGATGGACACAAAGATTTGAAATATGTAGCAATGGCTTTGGCTTATAATACCGCCCCGGGGGCCATGATACATAATATTCCGATGTCTGCTAATACCATTAAAGTTAACATATCTATGATTTATACAGGTTTTGTGAAATGTCATCCTTTGTTTCCATATATAGTGTTCACAGATTTTGTGAGATGCAAATCTTTAAATGTTATTATTATTTAAGTTTGTTTTTTGTTTCAATGGTTTTTACAGGTTTTGAGCAATGTCCTCTTTTAGTTCCAAATGAAAATGCTGAGATATATGTGTTGACAGACGCTATAGGATCATTTGTTGAGTGGCCTAGTCATTTAGTTTTTTTTGAAGGAGGGATGAATAAATAACTCTTTGCAATTATCAAACAATACAAAATTACTCTATGTTACTGTCATTCTGACCATTTTTTAGGATCAGGTAAAGTCAAAGCGGAAAGATGTGATTCAAAAGAATAAATCTTTTATTTCGAGAGAGTCTCCTCGGGTTGTGGTTCCTCCTAGCACATACCCATTGGTTAGTGATACTATTTTGCAGTCACTAACCGAAGATTTATTGGAGCTACATGAGATGCTAGAGTGGTATGAGCCAGAGGTGTGTAAATTCTCTATTGCTTTACCTGTTGATGCTTTTCACTATCCGCAAAACAGTGAATTTGGGACTATCATCGATCGTAAAGACTTGGCTGAATTACTCGAGGGTGATTCTGTGGATATGTGCATCATTCAATCCTTTGCATTGTAAGTATTTTAAATAAATATAACAATATTTAAATTAAAGTTAATGAAAGGATTTGAACTTCAAAATTGTATAATGATGCTATATTATGTTTATTATAGGTGTGCCTTAGCTAAATTGAATGATTTGCAACGTGATGATGTTGTATTTTTGTGCCCCTTATTGTGCTCTTATGGTTCTTATCAACTTGACAAGAAGGGCACAATAACATATATGAAACAATCTTTGTGTGCGACATTTGGAAAAAGAATGATCTTGCTTCCATATAATGAAGGGTAAATAGTTTTATTTTATATAATGTATCTGTTTATGTAAATTTAATTTTTTAATTAATTGTATTTTTTTATATTTAGATTTCATTGGATTTTGATAGTCATTTGCCCCTCTGTTAATAAAGGCTATATCTTCAATTCAATCCCAAGCTTTTCTAATATCATCATTCAGAAAGATCTAGCATTGTAAGTATTCTTTTAATATTTTTTATTTATTTAATTGCTATAGATTATTATTATTATTATTATTATTTATATCATATAACATAAATTTTTTAATGTAGAGCATACAGAGTTGCTTCCGCAAGAAATGGTGATGGAAAGCCAATCACATGGCATAATGTTAAGGTAAATTCATCAATAACTTATTTCAATCACCATTAACTTTGATACATATATTTTGTAAATTTGTATTTCAAAAAAGTGTGCCAGACAAAACGGAAACACAGAATGTGGATATTATACCATGCGATACATATGGGAAGTGATTTCGTATGTTGATAGCTTTGATATTGGAAAGGTATATCATTATTTATTCTTATTTTTTAACTTCGTTTAATTTTTTCTAATTTAAAAGTTGTAATATTTTTTATTTATGTTTTATTTTATCTAAATATTTGTAGGATTGGTATTCAAGAACTGAGGCATATTCTGAAGATGAGTTTAATAACATTCGCAATATATGGGCACGATTTTTCTTGGACGTACTCTTAAATATGTAAAAGTTGATTACATTGGTTATGTATTGTGTTAAGTGTTTTATGAAATCATTTTTATGAAGATTTTTGTAATCTATGTTGGTTACTTGAATTGCTTACACTTTGCTGATTTTGTAATTTGTGAAGTTCATGTTGTTGATATTGTGATGATTTTAAAAAGTTTACACTTTTGGTATTTTGTTAATTCTGTTCCAGGACGTACTTTTGAAAGATCCTAAATATGATTGAATTTTTTTAAAAAAATGTTGAATACTTGCGGCGCTTATTTGTGTAAAGCGCCGCGAAAGTTAAAAAAAATAAATTAATTTAATTTATTTAAAAAACATTTGCGGCGCTTATATAAAGAAAGGCGCCGCACGGGTACGTCGAAAATTATTAATTTAAAAAAATATTTTGCGGCGCCTATACGCAAAAAAGCGCCGCACACATATTAAATATAATTTTTAAAAAAATAAAATATTTGCGGCGCTTTTTGAAATTAAGCGCCGCACGCGTTAAATTGCGGCACCGAGATTTGCGGCGCCTAAAAGCGCCGCACGTTGGGTGATTTAAGCGCCGCAAAAAGGTAATTTTGCACCAGTGGCTATTCTAGGTAATAAGTTGGTAAAATGGATAGATTCATTGCATTTAAAAAGTAAGCATGTTTATATGATACCTTTTTTATCTGCTTTTGTTTCTTCTGAATGGATAACTAATTTCCACTGTCAGGTGTAGCTAGGAAAGTATCTGGAAGTGTAGAAGAGAATATGACTGGAGTTAAATATCTCCTCATTGAGGCCTGCTATACTTTTAGCATGATAAGATTTTAAATTTCCTCTCTATGTAGATATCCTATTTTTTTTGTCTTGGTAGTTTCTGTTCTCTGATTTGTCACACTATTTTTATAATAATCATTATAACCTCTAGCACGGAAAATATTGGCTTGTGTTAATTTTATCCTTAGATGTTGATGTACTTGTTGAACTTATTGATTATTAATATTGCAAAGTTAAACAATTATTATGCACGCTATGTTCAACAAGATATTGAGAAGTACTCTAAAGACTTACTTTATTGGATTTTTTTGGTATTGCTAAGGCTATGTTCAACCAGATAATGAGAAGTACTCTAAAGACTTGCTTTATTGGACTTTTATGGTGATGCGAGGAACTATGATGTCTAGGATGTAGCATATAAAAATTTTGTATGATTAACGTGTAGATTTATAGCATCTTGTAATATATGTAATACTTTATTGATATTGACACTGTAAAATTATTTGAGTAATAAATATAGATATTGTTGTTTTGTTTTGGCAATTTATTAATATTTCTATAATTTATATAATTTGTAATACAACTAGAAAGAAGTAATAGAATGATTATAATAATAATAATGTTATTATAATTATATGACACAAATGTATCATAATTTTTATGATACCAACGTGTCACAAAGTCTTATGATACCAATGTGTCATAATTTTGCGTCACATTAATGTATAATAATTTACTGACACTATTTTGTTTTACAATCAGTGACACTATATTTAGTGTCGCTAGCCACCACTTTCCCCGACGCTTTTTAAGTGTCGCAGAAAGTTTCAGCGACACTAAATTAGTGTCACTATAGGCCCTGTTTTTACTAGTGATATGAACATATTTGTTGGGTTAATGGCCTTCCAGGACCGGCCCATCAACCCCTGAAACCCAAAGGGCCAAGGGACGTACGTGGCCCACCAAAGCCAGGGGACGTACGTAGCCCAGCATAGCCAGGCCCCAGGGTCCAAGAGCCAGGGGACGCACGTAGCCCAGCGTAGCCAGGCCCCAGGGTCCAAGAGCCAGGGGACGCACGTAGCCCAGCATAGCCAGGCCCCAGGGTCCGAGAGCCAGGGGACGCACGTAGCCCAGCATAGCCAGGCCCCAGGGTCCAAGAGCCAGGGGACGCACGTAGCCCAGCATAGCCAGGCCTCAGGGTACAAGAGCCAAGGGACGTACGTAGCCCAGCATAGCCAAGCCTCGAGGCCCAAGGGCCTGAGGATGAACGTCTGGTGGGTTATATTCAAAGGCCCAGGCCACCATCTAAGAATTGAGTTTAGTTTAGGGGACGGACGTCCCCCGCATTATGCCGGGAAACCAAGATCTTGGCGGGAAGCGCATTTAATGCTGAAGATTTGGTGGTTGGAATCATGTCGCCCACAGCCGGCCACGTCAGTCCCCCAACCACCAGGGTGTACTATAAATAGCCGCATTTATTTCATTGTAAGCGGTTCGCACATCGTTACTCTAGAGTTGTAATAGCATCAGCAGTACGTAGCTTATTTTCAGTACGTTCGGCCCTTCGGCTTGTAATCACTCTATTCAAAGAAACAATCATTTAATCCATCCCCGTTGTTTTAGTAAGCTCATCATTTACCTTCCACCCACTCAAAACTTCAGGTACGTGTTGGGCCTGCGGGTTGAAGGGAATAAACCTCAACACTGGCGCCGTCTGTGAGAAATCTGATCAAAAAGCTCTATATCCAAGCTCTCCATTTAAAACTTCTAAGACAACAAAAAGGCAAACAAAATGAATACTAATAATGCGGGCAATTCTCAAGACCTATCATCACGGCTGGCTCACAGCAGGAGGAGCCGTAACCAGGCGACAGGGGGCCAATCCACTAGCCTGTGGAGCCGAGGGGACCTCGGGATGCTCACCGACCTGATCCCACAAGAACTCCACGGGGACCCCCATGCACTGCGAGATATCGTGGATACTATCCGCCGACTGGCGGATCAGCGGGAGGAAGAACACGTGTACACCGCCAATACTGAGCGCACCCCGCTCTCACCCGTCCGTCCCATGCAGTCTTTCACCGAGCACACTGGCGAGAATAGCAATCCCCGTTGTTCGGTCCATTCCAGAATAACCCAGAACACCCGCCCTACGGGTAGGGGGCGCCACTGGGGCTAGACCCTTCAGAGGAGCACAACGCCACACGTTTCAGGACCCCACGCCGGTCATGCCCCGCGGAGGAGGAATGGCTAGGGAACATACCCCCGTACTGAGCGGCATGGTGGCGGAGAACCGAATGCACTTTGGCCAGCACGATCAGGGCGTTATACCAAGAGGAGACGCCTTGGCAGTAGTAACCCCCGCGCCTGTCGGGACTGATCCACGGGATGCCATGCTCCTGGATATGCAGAGGCAAATAAATGAACTGAATCGCCGGACGGAGAACGCTCAGGCCCAGCCCAGGATTGCGCTTTCACCCCCCTTCACCGACAGGGTTATGGCGGTAGACATTGCTCGTGACGTTCGCCCCCCAGGAACGTTAACTTATGACGGAGTCGGGGACCCCAAAGCCCATCTACTGTCTTATCAAGGGACGCTCTCTATGCTGGGAGCCTCCGATGAGGCTGTGTGCAGGCTTTTCTTCAGCACACTCAAGGGGCCCGCACAGGAATGGTTTGGGCAGCTCAGGCCCAGATCTATCGACAACTTTGAACAACTCTCCCGGCAGTTCATGGCTCAGTTCGCCTCCAGCTCCACGCCAAAAAAGCACTTCAGTTGGCTGACGAACGTCCACCAGAATAAGGGGGAATCCATATCTGCCTTCATGATGAGGTGGAGGGATGAGACATTGAAGGTGGAAGACCTCCCGGAAAGCACCGGCATCACCCTCTTCACCAATGCACTGGCGACCGGGGACCTCTATCTGGATTTAAAGAGGAATCCCGGGAACAACTACGCCGAGGTGCTGGCCCGCGCGCACAAATTCGCGGCAATAGAGGAGGAGGTCTCACAGCGGGACGGAGCATCAAACCCCGCTGCGCGCAAGACATCAGACCGACTAGGTCCCGGACCAGTGGAATCGCCACCCCTGAAAAAGAAGAAGACAGTCGGCGGGTATGTCCCGTGGGCCGCACAGGAACGCACGGGGGATGGCCCCCATATGAGCCTAGGGCCGGCACCCCTGGCCTACCCAATCAGCCAGATCTTTGGGGCCATCAAGGACCAGGGGCTGCTCAAGGAGCCGGTACCTACCAAGGGACTCACGATGGGCCGGGACGCGGGAGCGTATTGTGAATACCACCGCAAACAGGGGCACAGTACGGACGACTGTAAAAGTCTGAAGTACGCCATCCAGAAGCTCATTGATAGAGGATATCTGGGTGAATTCACCACGGGGGAGCATATCAGGGGCCCTCACAGCAGCACAGGAGGCCCTACAGCTGGCGCCGGGATGATCGGCGAGAGGCCGGGGTCAAGGAGGATGATTTCCGCCATGGAGACAAAAGGCCAGAAGCATCACTCGGGCCGGCCAGCTCCAAGAAGAAGATGGAAATCAAAATGATTTTCGGAGGAGCAGAAACCGGGGATACCCCGGCGGAGAGAAAGAAGTTTGAGAGAGCCCTCAGGATAAATTCTATCTCTGCACCTCCCGCCAAGAAACATAAGGTTGAACCCATCACATTTGGGGCAGCGGACCTGCCGCAGACTCCAGGGCCGCACAGGGATGAGCTGGTAGTCAGCATGGATATCCGGGAGTGGATAATCCGACAAGTTCTGGTTGATACAGGAAGCAACTTCAATGTCCTCTACTGGGACGTGTTCGAAAAAATGCATCTGGGAAGGGCCGTTCTGAGCCCCCTTCGGACACCCCTGGTCGGTTTCACCGGTCACGGCATCGATGCAGAAGGGACCATCATCCTACCGGTTGAAATCGGGGACGGCGAACACCGGGCAACAATTCCCATGACGTTTGTG